TATGATTCATATCAGTAACAAAATTACAGTTATGAAGTATCAACAAAAGTAATTTTATGGTTGGGGGTTACCCCAACATGAGGAACTGTATTAAAAGGGTCATAGCATTAGCAAGGTTGAGAACCACTGATCTAGACTCTTTAATTCAATTTGCACAAATGAAATGTTTAGAGAGTGAGTGAGTGAGAATTCGGTGCCAGGGCATGTGTGTGGAAGTTGGAGGACAGTTTATGGAGTCCATCTCTCCTTCCACTATGTGGTTCCTGAGAGTCTGGTGGCAAAAGACCTTGCTCACTGAAGAATCTCCAGCTCTAAAGCATCTTCTACCTTGGACTTATATTGTAGAATTGCCTTTCTTTCCTACCCTACCCTACTCTTTTTAACCAGATTTCTCCACTACTTTTTCTATAGCCCTTTATTCTCAATTACTGGTGTGAAATTGTAATTACAAGTCTTAGGAGAGCAGACTGCAGCTTTAGCAGCAAAGCAAGGTCCCTGGAGATTCATTTAAGGAACATACTCCTTCCTTTAATACATAGGAAGCCAGGCTTCTCCAGCCCTACTCGAAGCTTTTCCCTGAGTTCCCTTTAATAAAGGGACGGAATAAGATAGTGTTGGATATTGAGAACCTGGCATTACTCATGTAGTCCTTTCTACATTTTTTTTGAAAGATGATACAAGCCCATATTAAGGATGAATGAACTGAGACTTAGAGTTGAAAATAATATTTCTCATACAACTATTCCAGTATATCAGTCCCCCTCCCAATTCCGGGGGATTAATTGAATTCTGCATAGTTAAGCATGTATTTTTTAAGCCAGTATTTTTCAAAACTTCAGTTTTGTATCAGTATCATAGTTTATTTGTTTATTTATTTATTTACTTTAGTTTTTCAAGACAGGGTTTTTCTGTGTAATAGCTCTGGCTGTCCTGGAACTTGCTTTGTAGACCAGGCTGGTCTCAAACTCACTGAGATCCGCCTGCCTCTGCCTCCCAAGTGCTGGGATTGAACGTGTGCACTACCACTGCCACAGCCTGGTCCAATATCATAAATTTTATGATTGTATAATATATTTTGTTTAATATTTTAAATATTAAATAGTAATTGTTTGAAGAGACCAACTTTTTTTTTAGCATTTATCTATTTATTTTCTTTATTATTTTTTGTTCTTACTTGCATTGATGTTTTGCCTATTATAAGGGTGTCGGAGTCCCTGGAACTATATAGTTACAGACATTTGTGAGCTGCCATGTGGGTCCTGGGAGTTGAACCCAGATCCTCTGAAAGAATAGTCAGTGCTCTTAACCCACTGAGCTATCTCTCCGGCTCACATTTTTCTATTTATTATGTGTGTATGTGCATGCATGAGTTCATGGCACAATATTTGTGCAGAGGTCAGAGAATTGGTTCTCTGTACCATGTAGACTAAAACTTTTATTAGACAAGTTCCTGCTGGTTTAGAACTTGGTATGAGGCAGGCTGGCTTCAGACCCACAGAACTCTGCGCACTGTAAGAAATCTTTGTGTGCCCCACCAGCCAACTCCCACATAATAATATGGACACTACTAATTAATTATAAAAGCTCGGCCTTTAGCTTAGGCTTTTCCCCATCTAGGCTTTATATCTTAACACGTATTTTTAAATCTATGTTCTACCACATGGCTTTTTACTTTTCATTCTATACCGCTGATTTGTGCTGCCACTCCTGGCGCCACCTCTGCCTGCCTAGATTAATCCCAGTTCTTCTTTTTGCCCTGAAGTCCCACCTATTTTCCCTGCCTGGATACTGGTCTTTTAGCTTCTTATTAAACCAGTCATAGTGGCACATCTTTACAAAGTGTAATCAAATGTTGCGCAGTGCCCACCTTTGCTTCCTGAATGTTGTGACTAAAGCATTATGCCTAGCTACCACAACTTTTTAAGAGGAACTTGTGCAGCCCTCAAAGTTATTTACCAAAATTTGGAACACTAAGATTAAATTCAATAAAAACAAAAATTGTGTTAAATTCTAGTCATAGAATTTAAAGCCTTAAAGTCATTGAGTTCCTCCTGCCTCTACATCCCAGGTGCGGGGATTAAAGATATGCCTCATCATCCAGCCATTGAGTGTGATTTTTTTTATATAAGTACAATTAAAAAGCATTTCAGTTTTATAATTTATAATTGCTAAAAATTTAATTGCCATCTTAGTGTATTTTGTTAGAGACAGTAAATAGGTACCTGATATAATTACCATGATTAGAATCTAGATTATAATTTGATTAGAAAACTGTTATGATGGGGCTGGAGATATGGCTTAACAGTTAAGAGCACTGCCTGCTTTACCAGGGGACAGGGGTTGGATTCCTAGCACTCGCATGACAGCTCATAACTTTCTGTAACTCCAGTCTCAGAGGATCCTCTTCTGCCCTCCTTTATCACCAAGCACATAACTGGTGCACAGACATATGTACAGACAAAACACCCATATACATTAAATAAATAAATCCTTTAAAAACTCTATTAATATGTATAGGTGTTTTCCTATATGCCTGTGTGTGCACCACATGTCTCTGAAGGCCAGAAGGCATTGGATAATGGATGGTTGTGAGTTGCCTTATGGATTCTGGGATCTGGAGGTGATTGCTTTTATTTTATTTTTTAATTTTTAAATTTTTTGAGACATTTCTTTGTGTGGCTCTGGCTGTCCTGGAACTTACATGTAGACCAAACTGGCCTCAGATCCTAAGATCTGCCTGCCTCTGCCTTCCTAGTGCTGTGATTAAAGGCTTGTATCACCACCTCATAGTGTATTTATTTTTAAAGTTTCCTGAATAATTAAGAGAAAAGCATGTCCTATTGTCATGTTTTCTTAATTTAATTTTGTATTTTGACAGTTTCTTCAAATACAAAGGAAAGAATTTCATAACCTTGTTTTAAAAAGTTTGTTGTACATACACAAGAAGGTTTCCAGCCAGATTAATAACAATTATTATAAAAGCCAGAAGAGGGAGTTGGAGCCCCTGAAAATGGAGTTACAGATGGCTATAAACCACGTGGGTGCTCTGCAAGAGCAGCAGATACTCTTAGTCACCAAGCCATCTGTCCGGGCCCCCTCCCTTTTAAAATGCTGAGACATTTAGGCTCTTTTTACATAACCCTTGTTGTCTTGAAACTCAACTATATAATGTAAACTAGGCCCACATTTGCCTATGCCTCTTGAGTTCTGGGACCAATGACATGCATCACTACACAATACTTAGTCTGAGTTGTAGACCAAGGTTCCAAATCAACCCAAACAGACTCAAGAGGTTACCACATGGCACAAAAGAAGGGGGAAAAGGGAGGAACGCGCTGATTGATCGGGGCCAAGAACAGATTTAGGAACTGAACTGTGACCCCCCCCAAATGCAACTTGAAGCAAGTATTTAAGCATAAAAATTATAAGCCAAGTTATGTTGTAGGAGCCTGCTTGTTTGTTCCCGGCTGCCCAGACTCAACCTCACAGAAACTGTATTAATTAAATCATTGTTTGGCATATTAGCTCTAATTTGTCCGTCCTTTCTTTCTTTCTTTCTTCCTTCCTTCCTTCCTTCCTTCCTTCCTTCCTTCCTTCCTTCCTTCCTTCCTTCCTTTCTTTCTTTCTTTCTTTCTTTCTTTCTCTTAAGACAGGGTTTCTCTGTAGCTTGGGAGCCTGTCCTGGAACTAGCTCTTGTAGACCAGGCTGGCCTCGAACTCACAAAGACCCGCCTGCTTCTGCCTCCCGAGTGCTAGGATTAAAGGTGCACACCATCACTGCCCGGTTTAGCTCTAACTTCTTACTGGTTAGCTCTTACATCTTAATTTAACCCATTTCTATTAATCTGTATATTGCCATGTGGCCTTGGCTTACCAGCAAGGTTCAGCACCTGGCAGTGGCTTTATGGCTTTTCTCTGACTCCACCTTCTCTCTCCCACCATTCAGTTTAGTTTTCCCTGCCTAGCTCTACTCTGCCCATCACAGGCCAAGGTAGATTCTTTATTTGTTAACCAATAAAAGCAACACATATACAGAAGGACTTCCCACATCAAAGTTACAGTTACAATTTTCACCAATCTGGATATAGAAATTGGGGCTTCATTGAATGTTCCAACATTGTCATTCGATACACAATGTAAGCTTGCCTCTGCTGGGATTACAGGCATACACTCTTTTTCTTTTTTAGTAGTTTTTGAGACAGGGTCTCTATGTGACCCTGGGTATTCTGAAACTCACTGTAGAATAGGCTGGCCATCTCTCCAGCCTGATATCTGAGTCTTCTTTTCGATTCCATTGGTCCTCCTGTCTGTTCTTACGCCTCCCAGGCTGATCTTGATCTGGTCCTCCCGTATCTAATCATTGGTGGCTGGGAATGTAGATGTGTACCACTGTGCCCAGCTTATACAATGTCAAGGGTCAAACAGAGAACATGTATGCTAAGCAACCACTAACATCTGAGCTATATCCCCAGCCATAATCTGTTTTCATCTTAAGTAAATTCACCCTGTATATTTGTTCAAATTCCTGTTTTGCTTATTTTGCTTTCTTTTTGGGACATAATTGATACCATTAAGAAACCCCCAAGTATTAAATAAATTTTAATTTTCCATATTCCAGTGGACACTGACATTTTTTTGTTCTTGCTATGCTAAGAAATGTGCTAAGCTCTCTCACTCCAGCTATAACTTTGGCACATGCTCTTATCATCATTTCTCTAGTAAGGTGATGAAATGGAAGCCCAGAGAGGGGCCTGTGCAGTAGGTAATTGTTAGAACTAGGATTTAAAACCAAACTAATTGTTGAGTCTAATTTGGGATGTGGGAGTGTTTATTAGAAATTGAACCCAGTATTTTTCTCACCTAGACAAAAACTGAGTCACACACCCCAGCCTGAAGTCTAAATCCTCTTATATTATATGATATTTGATTTTTAATATTTAGAGTCAGCTTGGAGTAATTAAAAAATAATAATTGTTTTTCCCCCTTTTGTGTTTTCTTTAGGTTTCTGTCAGGATGAATTGGCAGAACTTGATCCAGGCACTAGTAAGTTCTAAATGTTACCTAGTGTTTGTGGGTAAGAAAAGGTGTGGCTGTGTTTAACTTATGGCGTCTTTGATGTTGTTATTTGAAGAGTGTATCTTTTCTTAACAATAAGGATGATATTCTTTCTTGTGATATTTTCTTTTTTATTTGCTAGTACTGTTTGATGGCCAGATCTATGCATTTAATAAAAAGTTGTTTTCTGAAATTTTCATTTAAAACAGACCCCCCCCCCCCCCTTGCTCAGTTCTCCATCCTCCAGTGAAACTAGCAGCAAACATATACGGTATATTCAAAACTACCCACCTTAGCTCACTCCCTTCTTCCCCTTCCTTCCTTTTTCCAAGACAGCAATGGCTGTGCTGGAACTTACTGGTAGACCAGGCTGTCCTTGAACTCACTGAACTCCTCTTTCCTATGCCTCCTGGGTACTGGGATTAAAAGTGTAAGCCAGTATACTGAGCAAAAACATTTGAAGTGGTAGTTGTCATAGTTTATTCAAAGGAGTTATATTACTTAATTTTGTCATTGCTGTAACAAAAGAAGCTTATTGAGGGATGTGTCAGTCTTTGGTCCCAGTTTTATGGTCCAGTTCCTTATGACAGAGTGTGAAGCTGTCATACTTGTATCTGTATTCAGGAAGGAGATGAGACAAGAATGCTAGTGCTTAGTGCTCTTTGTACATTATTGAGTTTGAGTCCCCAGCCTGTCGGATTGTGCTGCCCACATTAAGGGTTGGTTTACTCTCTCGGTTAAAGCCTTCTGTAAATGTCCTCTTAGACATGCAGAGGTTTGTCCCTTAAGTGGTTATGGTTATAAGTCCTTCAAGTTAACAGTGAAGGTCAGCTATCAGAGTCAAAGTCAAGCATTACAGCGGCCAGCTTGTTTTCTCCCGTTCCCTCTTTCCTCTTGTTCTGTCTTCCTCTACCTTGCCTTTTCTCCTTTCCCCTCCCTTTTCTGTTTTCCCCTTCCCTTTTCCCCCTTCTCTCCTCCCTTCCCTTCCCTTCCCTTCCCTTCCCTTCCCTTCCCT